CCTCAGGGTTTTCGGTCATTTTTGTAGTGGTAGATTGCCTAACTAAGTACGCTCACTTTGGCCCGTTGCATCATGGGTTTACAGCCACCAAAGTGGTTGCTCTATTCGTCCAAATGATCTACAAATTACATGGCTTGCCGAAGACTATCCTTAGTGATCGTGATCCTGTTTTCTTGAGCAAGTTTTGGCAGGAACTATTTCCACTCAGCGGCACAACTCTCAAGCATAGCTTCGCATATCACCCACAAACCGACGGCCAGACAGATGTCACAAACATATTTTTATAACAGTATTTGAGGTGTTTCGTCATGGACCAGCAGCACAAGTGGGTGGAGTACTTGCCTTGGGCCGAATTTTATTACAATACTTCCTTCCATACAGCTATCGGTACCACCCCATTTAACTTGGTGTATGGTCGCGATCCCCCTACCATTGTGCCATATGTTCCGCATGGATCCAATTTAGAGGCTGTTGATTTTGAGCTTAGTACTCGTGATCTGGTTCTTAAGGAGTTGAAAGCTAGCTTGGCCAAGGCTCAACAACGCATGGTTCGCCAAGCCAATAAGCACCGTTGGTCAGAGGACTTCCAAGTGGGTCAATCCGTTTACCTGAAGCTCCAATCATATAAACAGGTCTCCCTACGCAATGAGGGTTATACGAAGCTGGGTCGCAAGTATTACAGCTCATTCACAATATTGTAGAAACTTGGTAAGGTTGCTTACCGCCTGGAGTTGCCGCTAGAATCCAAGATTCATCCTGCTTTTCATGTTTCCTTGCTTAAACCATGTCATGGCGTCCCACCAGTTTCGGCTTCCTCTCTTCCTCCCTTGGTTTATCATGGCCAACCCCTGGTTTCTCCACTCGCCATTGTGAGTACTCGGCAGCTCATTCGCAATGGGGCCTTAGTTTCACAATGTTTGGTTCAATGGCACGGGCTGCCTTTGGAAGAGACGTCATGGGAAGATGCTAATGACCTTACAGCTTTTTATGGCACTATCCCTTCCAACCTTAAGGACAAGGTTGCTTTTGCAGCGGTGGACAATGTTAGGAACTTGCATGAGTATGATGAAAGTGTTGTGAGAAGGTCCACACGTCCAAAGAGAACACCTGCATGGGCAAATGATTATAATTAGAGTATTATTAGTATTTTATTCGGTTATTAGTATTTTATTCAATATTAAGAGTTGTAGTTAATAAACAATATGATTTTATCATTATGAAAGAGTCCTTTTGTAGTAGGGCAAAGATAAGGTGTCAGGCTATAGCTATATAAGCCTAAAAGAACCTGATGTTCAGGGAATAAAAAAGTAATAAACTTCTTCTTCAACTTTCATTCTTGATCTCTCTTCTCCCAATCTTTCAAAATCTCTTCTTCCCTAACAGAGGCAAGAGAGGTAGTTGAACTACTGAAATATGTCGAGGGAAAAGGCTAGAAAGGCAAGAGAAACAATTTGGTTGTTAAGTATGCCGAGAGAGAAGAAGAACAAAGGTAACATGATGAAATATTTGTGTATTTGATATATTCTTCATGTACAATTTACAGTAATTTATACAAGTGGAAATGTGACTCATAAGAAATGAAATAAAAGGAATAATTACATCATCATTACATAGAAGGCACTGTTATACTTTCAACTAATCATATTTTAATTAGATCATATCAAATCCTCCATTAATTACGCATATCTTCACTCCAATGTTGACAAAATCTGTCAACCTAGAAGGATTTCCAAGCGAAAGACATGTTGACAAATCCTTGTTATTACTTTAATCCAAAAATTAACTATTCTCATATTAGCTTATGACATGTGACCATTTTAGTTAAACTAAAATACAACTTCAAATAGAGTTTCAATTCTTATATTTAACTTTAATTTAGGTAAACATTGCTTACTAATTAAAGTTAGTTTGTCCTTGATAAGACTAGCTGATTAACATTGAAAACAAATTCTCATGACAGATAGCCGTGAAAAAATGGAAATAAATCAATCACCACAATCTTAAATATGAATACTCGTTCTTCATTCTTAATTAACACTCTAAATAATTGATTTAATGTGACATTATTTGGACACAACTTCTGCTTTCTTAAGAAATAAAAAAAAATGTCAAAATCTGATGGCTGATAATCAACATTTGTGCCTTATAATCATAATAAATGTTGATGCTTGATTTTGGGCACCAACCAACTGATACGTGTGCAGCATTGATTGATCAAAAAGCACACGTGAAAATGAATATAAAAAGCGAAATAAATGCTATGAGAGTTTTTAAAGTGGTTCGGATGCTCAGGTAGCAAGTCCTACGTCCACTGATTTGTATTGATATTGATAGTGTGTGTCAAGTCGCGACAGCGGACTGACTTACAAAAGGTTGGGAAATAGATACAAAAGCGTGAGAGAGAGAGAGAGTTTTTTTTGTGTAAAATTGTCGAATCCTCTTAATGAAGGGGTCTTCCTCTTCTTATACCCAATTGTATGTCCGTAATCATCACTAAATCCTTAGGTTGGTGTGATTGTCAGGACCTAATCTGATTTTACGTCCCATTACCTATTTTTTTAAGCCGATTTCACGCGATTTGGAGCAGGCTAGCGAACACGTGGGAGCACCAGGGCGTTTGACAGGCCTGACGTGCGCTTACCATTCTGATAGAAATAAGCCACGTTTCATCACGCAACTCTACGTCAGTCTTTCATTTCTTAGTCATAACAATAAACATTTTATTAACAACATTATTAGTAGTCACATCCTATTATGGTCATGGATGTCCTTTTTTTGAGCACTCAGACCAATTTCTAATTCTAATTTACTAATGCGCTTACACTGAAATGATAATTTATTAGCTATGAAATTGACCACGACAGCTGTGATTATAGATGCCATTTAATAATGCATATATGCTATGCTACATCGCGGCTTTAAAAAAGTTTCTTAAAACGATTAGACCTAACCTTAATTAAGAACAGGTGTTGTCATGTAAAGTAGAGACATTGGAGGCTTTTATGATTTGAATGCAGGATTTTATTTGTTTTAGTCATGTCATGATTCCAAACCAAAACTGAAAATAATTTTAATTTTAATAAACCTTAAGAATATAATTTTGAATTCTAAAGTTAGAAGAATATTTTTATTTAATAAAATTGTAAAATGAAGTTGTTTAAGTATAGATTATGAATAAGATAAAATTGTAAGAAATTTGAGATATCACATAACATGCAACCTACTTTAATTGCATGTCATCGTCAATTTACTGCACCGCAAAATTACATAATATTTTTAAGNTGTATTATGTAAATCATTTGAGTTAGCTCACGAAAAATATAATAAAGTGAAGTGAACCCTTGGGGATAAAACTGACCAATTAACCTGCCATTATTCCCATATATCAGCGCAGCCACGCAACCAAAGTTATGTGTATGTAATGTTTACTTATACGACCTTAGCCTCCCCTAATCCTAATCGGGCTTTGAAAAGTTTGCATTGGTGGAGCCTACCGCCTGCGCCTACCCATATAAATTAAAAAACACTAGAAAGATTATCAACGGTGACAGAATTAGAAACATGATAGACAACAATGCTCTGCAGAATTCAATTGAATGGGTTGAAGGATCATCAAAGGGCGTGATGGGTACGCAACTGGATCATGTAACTCTTGAAGCCCTTCAAGTGGTAGAGGCTCACGAGGGCTTTCTTCGTTGTAATTTTATTGTTCCAATCCACCTACTAGTAATTCATCAATACATCTCTTGTTCTTCATTAATTACTTTCATCGTTTAGTTTTGTTTATGATTTATATATGTGTAAGTTTTGAATTGTAGGATAATGATGGAAATTGGCATACTGGAGCAATAGCAACGTTAATTGATTGTTTGGGTGGTATTACCGTCTACTCTTTTGCTGGGAACCTCAAGGCCTCCCTTGATTTAAGCGTTTCCTTTTATTCCACTGCTAAGCTACAGGTACATTTTCTTACTGTAAAATCATGAAATTAATGAATTATCTCAATCTCTATATCTATATCTATATTGGGTATGGTCATACATGGCAGGAAGAAGTTGAGATAGTGGGAAAGGTTGTGGGGAAGAAAGGAAAGCTAACATCTGCAGAGGTGGAGATCAGAAGGAAAGATAATAGACAACTTATTGCTGTGGGTAGACTATGGATATCTACATCAATTCAACAAAGTAACCTTTGACATGGAAATATCTACCTACCTTCCTATTAACTTCATAGATGGAAATTTACATGCTGCATGCATCTGTTTTCCTTGTTTCTTGGTTAAGGAATATTAGTAATTAACCTCGATCAGGCTTCTCGCTTGCTTAAATGGATTGCAGGAGCTTAGTAGCTTGATTGATGTAATAAAATTTTGATATGTACTAATAACTTGATTGTTTTACCTTTAGTTATATTGAGTATACAGAGCTCAAAATGGGCAACTTGATCCTGTGTCTGTTGTTTGTTTTTTTATAGAATTATGTAAGTTGTATTCATCAAAGCCAAGAAATAAATAAACAGGTATCTTATGGGTATAAATGACTGTTGAATAATTCCTCTTTGATATTTAAGAATGACCATTATGGCTGCAGCCAAACTCTTGTGACAACTCCTGCTAACTATGCCAGGAATAATTAAATAACAAGAAGTAAAAGAAATAATTTCCAAGGAAGAAAGTGCAATACAATCCTCTACATAAGAAAAAGGGTTGTTCAATCTGAGCAGGTGGAAGGAATGGATGGCTTCGACTGAGCAAGCTTTGAGTTGACAATTAGCAACTCGATATTCCTTTACATTTTCTATCTAATTCTATTTAAGTCTAATGAATTTGTAGTATTTATATATACATATTTGAAAAACTAATTAGAGTTATATTTAAAAAATTTAGAAAAAATCATTTTAATATTTAATATATTTTCGTTTTGGTGGGTCACAGTCACAGGAGAGTGGGAGAAATACTCTAATTTGAAAGCAAACAAATGGCTGGTAAGATGCCATATACTCCTTTGCGGAGCCCACAAACATAATCAATAGTAGACTAGAAACAAGAAAGAATTAGAAAAGAGGAAGAAATTGGGTGAGATATAGGATGAAGGATAATCCTGTGCAGAAATCAAACAAATGGCTGAAAGATCTATCAGAAGGTGTCATCGGTCATGAGCTGGAGGCCTTAACTCTTCAGGGCCTTCAAATCGTCAACGCCTATCCGGGCTTCGTACGCTGTAATTTCACCATACCAATCCGATTAGCAGTAAATTTGATCTCTCTCTAATCTTTGTTATTCCTTTCATCTTAATTATTTATTTTGTTTTTAATATCAAAGATTTATTTAAATTAATTTAGGATAACCATGGGAATTGGCAAGTTGGAGCGATGGCAACGTTAATCGACGACGTCGGGGCGGCTGCCATATACTCCTTTGCTGGCCATATCAAGGCCTCGGTTGACTTCATTATTTCCTTTTATTCTTCGGTTAAGATTCTGGTGCATTTTCTTAATCTATTACATTCTATTTTATCAATTTTTATTCACGAATTCAAAAAAAAAAAAAGCGCATAACAGAAGAAAATGATTTTCAAATACTTGCCCTTTTGGAACGTTTTTATGATGAACAGGCTTCTTAATTTTGAGTCAACGTAATGAAGTATAACAAAAATGATGGCAGGAAGAAGTAGAGATAGAGGCAAAGGTCGTTGGGGAGAGAGGAAGGCTTACATCAGTTAAGGTGGAGGTGAGAAGGAAAGACAATGGAGAAGTAATTGCTTTGGGTAAACAATGGATGGTTTCAAATAGTATAAATGCAGCTCAAGTTAGTAAGCTTTGATATCATAACTCCTACTAACTCAATTCGTATTTATGTGCTTTCTGTATCATCTTCAACCCCATTATAATCCCTTAATATTTCAATTGTTTCGCCATTTCTTTTTCCCTTTTTCTTTCTTGCTAATAATGGGAACCTCTGCCCCCTGGACCACTTTAACTTCACTTGCTAATGTAAGTTAGCAACCCTTGGAAAGTACCCATTTTTTACTGGAACAAATTCTCAACAAAACAACCGTCGACCTATCACCTCATCATAGTTAGATATTAGTGTGAAGTTCTTTTTTTTTTTTTTCCAAAAATTTTATCAAAAATTTACATAATTAGACTGTATATAATTTGATCATTGGAGATGGAGGTAGGTAAAAATAATAATAACTATTTTTTGTTAAAAAAAAAAGGAAGAGAAGGAAAATATATATTAGCATGGGGCGTTAATAATAATACAATAATGGAGAGGCAGAGGATCGAGGAATGTTCTCTTCCCCACAATCACACCAACCTCTCTCCTCTCAAAAAAATTGTTAATTATGAATCAATGATTAATTTTGTCTAATCTCTTCTAAACCATCTCTTAACCAGCCTAACAATGGCTACTACTAATCTTCATTCTTAACTTAGTTAGCCAACCCTTCACTTGTTTTCTTTATCACCTTCCGTTAAGGGCAAGGGCAGGATGGCCACCTCTCCTTTCCCTCTCTTTATCACTATTGGCCTCCATCTCCTCTTCTTCACCGCCTTCTCTGCCGCCACCACTTCCTCTACTGGTATCCGCCTCGGCATTATTCGCAAACCTTCTTCCCAACCCCATCTCTCCACCTTCCGTGAAGCCCCTGCTTTTCGCAATGGTGACTCCTGTGATACCCAAAAGATCCATGTCACCATGACTCTTGATGCTAATTATCTCCGCGGCACAATGGCCGCTGTTCTTTCCATTCTCCAGCACTCCACCTGTCCTGAGAATTTTGAGTTTCATTTTTTGTGGGCGCATTTCGAACCTGACGTCTCTGCTAGCATCAACTCTGCCTTTCCTTATCTCAATTTCCACGTCTACAAGTTTGACTCCAATAGAGTTCGTGGCAAAATATCAAAATCAATCAGGCAAGCACTGGACCAACCCTTGAATTATGCTCGTATATATCTAGCTGATATAATCCCCGCAGATGTAAAACGTGTCATATATTTGGATTCAGACCTTGTTGTAGTTGATGATGTTGCCAAACTGTGGGAGGTTGATTTAGAAGGAAAAGTACTGGCAGCACCAGAGTATTGTCATGCAAATTTTACAAATTACTTCACAGAATTGTTTTGGTCTGACAAATCTATGGCAAAAACATTTGACGGAAGACAACCTTGTTACTTTAATACTGGAGTAATGGTTGTGGATGTTGATAAGTGGAGACAAGGTGGATATACACGGAAAGTTGAAGAATGGATGAGTGTTCAAAAGCAGAAAAGAATATATCATTTGGGTTCTTTGCCACCATTTTTGTTAGTTTTGGCTGGGAATATTAAGGGTGTGGATCATAGGTGGAACCAGCATGGTTTAGGTGGTGATAATATTGAAGGTAAATGTAGAAGCTTGCATCCTGGGCCTATTAGTCTTCTTCATTGGAGTGGAAAGGGTAAGCCTTGGCTTAGACTTGACTCCAGGAAGCCATGCACTGTTGATCATCTTTGGACTCCATATGATCTTTATCGTCCATCAATACATTCTCTCGAAGAATGATCATCAACCTTTTTGGATAAATGGGTTCGTGGGTATGGGTAGTAAGGGATNAACTAACACACAAAACTACTATGTGTACAGGAATTTCTAGATTAAAGCAGCTCATCTTAGAAGAGGATAAGAAATTGTACTTGAATCTTAACAATTGAATAAAAGGAAATATTGAATTCAACCGATGCCTTGGCATGGCCAACTGAAGCGTATACGGCAAAACCCCCTACAATATCAATTAATGTTGCCATAGCTCCCACTTCCCACTTTCCATCTTTATCCTGCTTTTCATATATACATATACATTTATAAGCGACGCATTAACTTAATTGATTAGATAGCTTTACAAAGAATAAAATGATAACTAACATAGACTCAAATAAATAGAGAAGAGGACAAACAAAGTTTACCCCATGGCGGATTGTTATTATGAAATTACAGCGTACAAAGCCCTGTTGGACTTCCACCACTTGAAGGCCGCCCTCAAGATTCTGGTGCCCAACTCGTGACCAAACTCACCCTTTGATATTTCTTCAACCTTCTCCTTATCTTCTGCAGAAGATTGTATTTCATTCTCTCTCTCTCTCTCAACATCCACTCTCTGTTCAGTGGAACTTCTATTCTTATAATTATTTATATTGGTCAGATTTATGCTCCATTAGCAATAAAAAAATTATTTACAAAGTCTTCTTTCTGAAGATTCACAATTAATATATATTTCATATTTTAGTATATTATATCATGGACATTTGTAAAGATGTATTATTATATTACTATATTCTATTGTGGAGTTGTACTGGAGCCACGCTTGGGAGAAAAAGGGGATCAATCTCTCTCTGGCTACTAACTAAAGGAATGATTTGAGATCTAACATGGACTACCTGCCACAGAGAGACCATGGGCGGCTGGAGCTAAACCTATCTATGCCTATGGGATAAAATTGAACAATAAAAAGAAAGGTCTCTACGGTTCAATACAAATGAAACTTTAAGTTTCAACTAAGAAACAAAGAAAAGCGAAGATCAGTTCCCTATTTTGAGCTCTCTAAACTCAATGACAATCAAATCAAAACTAAAAACATCAGATATTGGTACATGCCAAATATTATTAACACCAATCAGCTGCTAAGCTCTTGCGATCCATTGAGCGAGTAAAAACCCTGATGTAGAGGATAATTATTTAATTTCCTCCCTAAGAAACAAAAATGATGCAACATGTAAATTTTTATAAAAAGTTACTAGCGAGCTAGGTGTTTCTATGTCAAAGCTTACTCCCTTGACTCAAGTTGTCCATATTTACCCAAAGCAATTAGTTGTCCACTATCTTCTTTTGACCTTCACCTCTACCGATGTAAGCTTTCCCTTCCTCTGCACAACCTTTGCCTCTATCTCAACTTCTTCCTGCCATTGTTATAATATACCTCAATTAGTCAAACTCGACAACACTGTATGGCATGATAAAACAATCAAAATAACTTCAATGGAACTAGGGGTTATAATGTAACGAAACTATTAAACGAGCCAAAGTACAAAAAAAATGCAGCTACTCCATATGAACCTTTTTACATTACCTCGCACCGTTCTAATATTAGCGAGGAAATATTAGCTTACCCAATTATAAAACTAGGCCTTTTTGCTTCAAAACAGAGATGAAGAAGCAATTTCCAATAATCATAAGCACTTGTTTTATTGGTTCCAAGTATACCATACTATAGATAGAGATAATTGATTATTTCATTGACATGCCTGACCAGATTTTGCAGATTTACTATGAACAAATCACAATTGTGGGTTCAAATGAAAAGATTACAGCTGGTTGAGACTGAATCAGTGAATATGAGGAAGACCAATTGAAACTTGGAGGTATCTTCAGTTAAAAATTAACAAATTAATCCAATGTTTTCAATTATTTGAATGAACTAAATGTTCTCTAGTCTCCTATATTGACTAACAAAAGACAAATCTGAATGCAGATTAGAAATAATTAAAAAAGACAAAGCGCTAAAAATATATGGATAGTAAGAAAATGTACCAATATCTTAACCGTGGATAAAATGAAAGGCTGAAATCAAGAGAGGCCTTGACGTTGCCAGAAAAAGAGAAGCGGTAGCAGTCCCCAAACTGTCGATTAACGTTGCCATGCTCCGGCATGCCAATTTCCATCGTTATCCTACGAAATAAAATCATGCAGATAACCCATGAACAAATGTATCAATTAATTATTAAAGTAATTAATACAAAGAAATAAAAATAATATTTACTGCTAGGTGGTTGGAACAATGAAATTAAAACGAACAAAGCCGTTACGAGCTTCTACCAGTTGAATGGCTTCTAGAGTTAAGCTCTCCACTCTCCGACCCATCACGCCCTTCGATAGATCTTGTATCCATTTGATTGTCGTCTCCAGAGCAATCTTGTCCTTCATGTTTCTCTGTTGATATGGCTTCAGTTTTCCCGCTAGTTTTAGAAATAGAAAATCTCCCAGCCTCCGATAACCGATAGAATTAGGGATGAGAAAAATCGTACAATTGTATTGGAGGTTGACTCATTATTACTTTTGGTTGCGAGGCGCGGCTGATAGACCTGATATTGCAAGTTATCTAATGGTGACAAATCATTTGTCGACGTTGACTCACATTATAAGTCGCAATTTCCCTTGATTAAAGTAAATATTACTTTCAAATCTTACCCTAAAATTTTAAATACGTTAATGGATGTGAATTTTCATGAGATTTCGGAAAGATGACTAAAAGAAGCAATCCAATTACTCAATTCATCATATAAACTATTTTATGTTGTGTTTTGTTTTTCAATTTTTCTCTAAGGTTTTTTTTCTTGACTCCCACACTTACTATTTTGTATTATTATCCAGAACATTGAGTTTGCAGGATTTTTCAACAATGGTTCACATTATATCTTGTAAATTTCTTTTATGCCCGAACATAATACCCCCAGTGCCAACAGGAGATAACCTCACGACTTACAGAAATGAATACCATAGAAAGCCAATATAAACAAAGCAATTTCATTCCCATGAGATAGAGAGATGGTGGTTTTATCTAGCCATATATTGATTTGTTGGAGGATCATTTACTTGTGTATTTCCTCCTCGTTGAGCAAGTATTCTTCATACCACCTACAAACAACATCAACAAATGCACCAATTAAGCCATCCAACGAGTAGATTATTTTATAAGAAAGAGGAAAGCAAAAGTGAAAGCTAATTGCCTAAGCAAGATCAATGTTCCTGTTTTTAAGCTCTCAACTCCTGGCAGAGGGAACACCATAGGCAGAAGGTATGAGAGATGAGATCTGAGTATGAAGCCTCTACTAAATTATACTTCCTCCTCAACTTTTCTCTATAGTTTGATCCAATAATCCATTGAGAGCACAAAATTGGCATCGTCGTGTACATGAAACTCGGCTCCCCATAGACAAGCTGCAACACAAACTTCCTCTTTTAGTTACTTGCTAACAAAATCCCAATAGCTGAAATGATGAATAATGAGAGGATTATAAAAAAAAAAAAAAAAAAAAAAAAAAAAAAAAAAAAAAAAAAAAAAAAAAATTAAAAGAAAATGAATGGAAAAGAGAAACCTACTTCATCTATACTTCTGCTATCTGCCCTAAGATGGCTGCCAATAGGCCCAAAACCAATAAGAAAGTAATTACGGACCCTTTATTAACCTGTCGCTTTTAATGCTAAATCATACACGTCTACAACCTTCATAAACGACACGGTATCGTTCTTATTCTTGGTAGTAAAAATTCACATGTTTCATGCAGAAGAGAAAAAACTGTAACCTTTGTAAAATAAAATAAAAACTGTAACCATTTTCATTCTCTCTCTCTCTTATTTTCTTAGTACATAAATTCTCTCTTATTTTCTTTTTGAATTGAAACTGCTACACAGGAAAGTCCTGCTTATAGAGTTTTGTTCCTACAAACAGGGGGGAAGTGAGGGCATATGATAATATTATATATTATGTTTTTTTTTTTTTTTTTTTAATGATATCTCAACTAATCTCAGAGAAATATATATCACAGTTACGGCTATGGTTTTAAACAACAATATTGTTCACTGGATGCCTGCTAAAGGGATTTTTATTGGAAGATTGTGAGCTTTGTTGATGATGATGGCTGTCCCTTCGTGTAGAATTATCAGAGGGTCGCCGGATCATGATCGATGCTAGCTCTATCAGTTTTTTCATGTCCCTCACTCTGAACAATGTGTTTATATATTATTTATCTCTAAATCCTGTTTAGTGTGTGGTTAATTAATTTCATCTTTCTTTATGAAATTTATAGGGGACCCCCACCCCCTGTTGTACTTGTAGCAACTTACAGTTAATTTCAACTGATCATCATCCATAACATCATTTCACAAACAAACTCTCATTTACCATTGATATATATATATATATATTAATGGGTTTTATTGGTCACTGTTGTCATGTGATGTAAGGGTTTTTCATTAGCTGATCAATCCATCCATTAGTATTAATCTAGTGTGGATGTCTTTTCTTATATATATATATATATATGAGTACATATAATTAATGCATGAAAACCTTCATTTGATTCAATCATTTAGCAATTCAACTTTCTGTTTTTCTTTGTTTTCTCTCATCCATCCTTACTTTTCCTTAAATTTAAAGGAAATCTCTCTGAACCTGTCTTAGGACGAGCAAGATTGATGGGTGATTCCTTGTTACATCTACTATATATTTTTGTTAATCCATTCACCATTACATAATGATGATTTCCCATGATCCAAATTAATAAGAAAAGATAACAGAATGAAATTGACTGCTAAAAATATTATTGTATAAATATATAAGTTGAGCATTCATAAAATTATCTAATCACAGATATGTCAAATTCAATTATTTCACTTACCCATCAACTTGCAAGGAGTTTGCTCAACCGTGCAATACTAAGTCAGCCACACCCTATAGTAAAGATCGATCTTTACTCATATTGGCTTTTTTCGTCCTAATAAATTCCTCGGATTTTTCATTGATATTTGTCAGAAACTGCCCGGGCG